TCTGGAGCTTGGGCATGCATGCACACACGCCTGGCGTGAGTTTTAAGCCACCGGGTCCGGGACGCGAACCGTGGTCAACTACGTGGGAGTCCAGCGACATAGCCATTACGCTAACTGCTGGTTCCCAGGTTAGTGGGTCTTTAGACTTGTTTTCCTAGAAAGTCAGTGGTTTGGTTCCTCAGAAAAACTAGCAGAAGCTCCTGGGTGAATCTAACCAGGAGCCTCTGACTCTGCTCTGTCAGAGCCCCCGTTCCTACTCAGCTGCTCGGAGACGGCACTGGAGAGCAGCCGCTCCCCGTTCATAGATTTGGGTAAACACGCTTTCGAGTAGCAAGCCCACTTTTAATCTGGCCGCCCTGGCCACGGCCGTGAGTGACCTGCGAGCCCACTAGAGGCCCCGGCACCATCCGTGCTTGGTGCTGGGAGGCGGGGCCCTCGCAGGGTTGTGCTGCGGACAGAGCCACGGGCTCCAGGCACAGGCCACGCCAGGTCGCCCCGTTCATAGATTTGGGTAAACACGCTTTCGAGTAGCAAGCCCACTTTTAATCTGGCCGCCCTGGCCACGGCCGTGAGTGACCTGCGAGCCCACTAGAGGCCCCGGCACCATCCGTGCTTGGTGCTGGGAGGCGGGGCCCTCGCAGGGTTGTGCTGCGGACAGAGCCACGGGCTCCAGGCACAGGCCACGCCAGGTCGGTCTCCAGCTCGGGCTGGAGAGGCTGGCCGGGCGGGGGGAGCCGTGGGGCTGGGCCGGGCCGGTGTCCCACAGGAACGGCGGACTCCGCGCGTGGCACAAGTACTCTGCTGCTAGTCTACACGGCCTGGGGTTCAGACCATGGTCGGCTGTGTGGGAGCCCTGCCCTCACCACCAGGCCACCTGGCTCCCAGATCGTGTCTTACGGGAGGGGAGTCCCCAAACGGTGTCTTTCTCCCAACCCCACCCCTTCCAGCACCCTCCGAACCCTTCCTTCATTGCCGGGGAAGCGAATAAGCCGCGCCGAGACTCTCCCCGCCCCTGGGCAGCAGGGACGCCGTCCCACCGTCACCCTTGTTCTGTCTTTGTAATGGAGCGCGTGCACACGCGTGTGAGCGCGAGACAGACCGAGTGGGAGAAGCAGCTCTGCAGGGGCTGGTCACGCGTGATCGGTGTCCTCCAGCCCTCCAGCCAGCTGGCTCCTGGCCCATGTTTCAGGCCGAGTGAGCCAGAGGTTTGGGCCGCAGTCCCCATGTGGGATCTGCTTGCCTGGAGGGTGCGTTCCTGGTGTGGCCCAAAGCTGGCCCTCCTGGGGAGAGAGCGTTATGCGGCCCGTTTTCTAGAACAAGCTAGACAGGGCCACACGCTTGCCCTGCTCCCCCAAAGTGGAGCTGCGTTTTAGAGTCCTGGCCCCGAGGGCCTGTTGCCACCCCAGCCTCTTCCCTGCCCCCAGTCGGTTCTTCTGTCCACCTTCCCTGCCTCCATGGGGTCACGGTGAGTTAGCCTCGGTGCTGGGAGAGCCTGAGGTTCGCTTCCTCGTCTGGGGTCTCCTGGTCTGTGGAGCCGGGCCCTGCGGAGGGCCTGCGCCATGACACAGCCCAGGCCCTGCTGGCGTGCGCCCACACCTGACGCGTGTCAGGTGACCCTGGCACTTCCTCAGCAGCTGTCCTCCCACAGGACCCAGGACCGTGGTCCACCCGAAGGCACGCATCATTGCCGAGGCCGGGCCCATCGTGATTGGCGAGGGCAACCTCATCGAGGAGCAGGCCCTCATCATCAACGCGTGAGTGTGGTGCTCGCAGCCTGCCGGGCCATGTCCGTGCCTTGCGGAGCCATGCCCGGCCCCTGGAGGCCCGCCACGGAGGGCTCAGATGGGAAGGAACCTTCCAGCACAAGCAGGGAGGGAGCCGCAGACCCTGGGGTGGGCTGGTCCAGGGTGAGATCCTGGGCGTTGCCGGCAGCCTCTGCTCTGGGCCCGGCCTTCGCCCCCAAGTGCCACCTCCTTCCTGGGCAGCGTCTGCTCTCTTCTGGCCGCTGGGCAGTTTGGGATGCGTGACTCATGCTCAGACACGAGAACTGTGTCCAACATGTGTGTCTTCACATGTCGGCACACATACTACCTGGAGTTACAGTGGACGCTTGGGGTCCCAGGGGCCACTTCCAACTGTGAAGATGGCAGATGACAAAGCATCGGGACACGTCTGTGGGCTCAGCGCCAGGTCGCTAGACTGACGCTGTCAGAGATGTTCATGGTCTTCATAGGTGACATTTTGGCGAGAAGTCCGAGCCTGTGCCTAATTTACGGCAACAGTAAACCCTCCATGGGGTGGCCATACCAGTCTCTTCTCCATTCTCCCCTTAGGGTTTGGGCATGTACGCACACACGTGCAGACCAGGGTGAGTTTTAAGCCACCTCGTCTGGAACTCAGACTGTGGGAGTTCACCTCCTTAACCAGCACGCCACCTGCTGGCCCCACCTTGGAGGTTTTGGAGAGGCTCAGGTCCAGCCTGCATCTTTTTGCCTTCCCAGAGAGGCCCTTGGGCCCAAGTTCAGAAAGACCGCCCAGCACGGTGCACCCTCGACCCCGACCCCCGTGCGGCTGCAGCCCCACAACCCCGACCCCCGCGCGGCTGCGGCCCCACAACCCCTGACCCCCGCGCACCTGTGGCCCCTGCCTGCAGGAGTCCCTCGCTGCGAGGGCGGCTGTGCAGCCAGGTACAGGCCGGCTTGGCCTGGGGTCCTGCCTGCGAGGTGCCGCGCTGTGAGTGCCAGGCGAGAGACGGGAAGAGCCCCCACCCCGGGCCGGGGGCAGAGCACTGAGCGTGCGTCCTCCTCTCCTCAGGCACCCGGATGACATCACGCCCGACGCCGAAGACCCGGAGCCCAAGCCCATGGTCATCGGCACCAACAACGTGTTCGAGGTTGGCTGCTGTATCCTTCCTGCAGGCCCAGCCTCGCCCTGCTCCTGGTCGGCTGTCGGCCCTGCCCGTCCGCCCCGCACAGGCCGCTCTGCCACACACGTACTGGCTGTTGGGAAGCCCCAGCGCGTTTTCTCTTTCTGTGCAAGAACACGTCCTGGCTTTTGCAACGGGCCTGTATGTGGAGGGTGTGTGAGTGTGTGTGCATGTGTGCGTGGAGTTTGCTACCAGGCGTGCACACTGGCCACAGACGTGGAGAGAACAAGTGAAAGAGCACCCCTGGGAGGGTCATGCCACACTCCCTTCTCCCTCTGTCTGTGTCCAGGCGTGCACGCACACGCGCCCAGCGTGATGTTCAAGCTCCAGGTCAGGGTTCCAGCCGCTGTGTGGGACCCAGCTGCCTTGACCAGGCAAGTGACCAGTCCTACAGTCAATGTGTGTGTATTGAAATACTTATTTTATTATTTCTTTTTTTCTTTTAAATTTTATTTCTCTTTATTCATTTATTTTAATTTGACTAGAGAAGGACAGAACAAGTGAGTGAGAGAAAGAGAGGGAAAGTGAGAAAGCAAGCCGCCAGGTCCAGGACTCGAACCATGGTCAGCCATGTGGGAGCCCAACGTCCTTGACCACCATGCCCCCTGCCAGCCCTCCTTTAGAGAGAGTTTTTGCTGTAAGGCACATGTGTTTGCCGGAGAGACAGAAGGACAGAGACAGAAAGTCAGCAGTCACCCCCCAAGGTGGGATGGCCATGCCACAATCCCTTCTCCAGTCTCCTCTCAGGATTTTGGGCATGCATGCACATGCACCTGGCCTGTTTCAAGGTTCTGGGTCCAGGGCTCGAGCTGTGGCTAGCCTTGTTGGGGTCCGGGGCTCGAGCTGTGGCTAGCCTTGTGGGGGTCCGGGGCTCGAACTGTGGCTAGTCTTGTGGGGGTCTGGCAGCGTAACCACTAGGCTATCTGCTGGTCCCTGCAGTATTTTTATAACCCGTCTCCAGTCCCGTGCAGCTCTCAGGCAGTCCCTCGCACTCTGAGGGGCTCTGGGCCCTCTACTGTCGCAGTCTGTTGGCGGGTGTGGCCAGGGCCTCGAGCAGAGACGGCATCCCGGCTTCTGGCCTCCTCTCGGACCTGTGGCCTGACAGTGTCAGGGAGACGCCCTCCTGTCTGACGCGAGGAGGGGGTGGACATGGCGAAAGCGGCCTTTCCCCAGCAGGGTCAGCAGTCTTTTGCTTGTCCTCATGTTGGTTTGTTTTTAAAGCTTATTTCTTTCACGAGGGAGAGGGGGGAGAGAGAGAGAGGGAGAGAGGAGGGAGGGAGAGTAAGGGGAGAAAGGGGGGAGAGAGAGGAGGCGAGAGGGAGAGAAGAAGACGAGGGGGGGAGAGAGGGGGGAGAGAGAGAGGGAGAAGCAGGAAAGATGGGCCCAGGGTGGGGCCTCGATGCCCTGGCAGGTACTCCGTGTGTGTGCCTGGTGGCCCTGGCCCACAGAGGAGCTAGGCCCACGGGAGCCACCGTCCCTGGCGCTGCTGCTACTGCAGTGCACCTCCACAGCCGGCCTTGCCAGGGCCTCCTTAGAAAGGCCATTCGCTGGGGTCGGGCAGCAGGTGGCACGTGGGAATACCAAGATAGGAGAGTGGGGTGGGCAGCAGCAAGGGAGCCAGAGGTTGAGCCGCGGGTGAGCTAGCCAGCAAGGCTGTTAACGGTCTTCTAGTGGCCTTTTGGGGGACCAGCAAACGGCATGAGGGTCATGTCACTGGCCTCTCTTATAGTCAACCACAGTTCGAGTCCCGGACCCGGTGGCTTAAAACTCACACCGGGCACATGTGCATGTGTACCCAAACCCGAGAGGAGAATGGAGAAGGGATTGCAGCGTGGCCATCCCCATGAGAGAATAGAAGAGAAGGGATTGTAGCGTGGCCATCCCCATGAGAGAATAGAAGAGAAGGGATTGTAGCGTGGCCATCCCCATGAGAGAATAGAAGAGAAGGGATTGTAGCGTGGCCATCCCCATGAGAGAATAGAAGAGAAGGGATTGCAGCGTGGCTATCCCCGTGAGAGGAGAATGGAGGAGGGATTGCAGCGTGGCCATCCCCGTGAGAGAATAGAAGAGAAGGGATTGCAGCATGGCCATCCCCCTGGGGGGTGATCTCTCACTTCCTCTCTCTCTGGTGAGCACTCATGCCCTATAGCAGAAATCTCTCTTACAAGACATTTTTGCCGCTCTCGGGCCTGGCTGTAGCACCCTGGGTGGTCAGGGTGCTGCTGTGAGGCCCAGCTGCCCAGGCCTGCTCCCTGTCTGCCTCTGCACGCTGGCCCTGCGTGGTTCCGGCTGGCCACGGGGCTTGCGGACCTTGAATGCGAGGTTCCCAGCCTCAGGAAATAAACAGGAAAAGGAGTTTAATGGCATGAAGTGCTTGTAATTTAAGTGAACTGAACAAGCCACGGAGGTCGACACAGGTCCACTCCTGTCAGGAAGGGCGTGGGAGGGGTAAGGTGTAGACGGGACGGTGTCTGAGAGCCATGGGTGGTTTTTCTTCCGATGCTGAGGACGCTGCCCTGGATCAGCGGGGCCATGCTCCCCCACAGACCACGTCTCCTCACGCCAGGAATGCCCCCTCGCTCCTTTCCTTTGTCCCTGTCCCTACCCCTGCGCCTGTCCCTACCCCTGCCCCTGCCCCTGCCCCTGTCCCTGCTCTCCCCCCAGTGCATCGTGGGAAAGCCAGCCATGGAGACAGCACCTACTTAACTCAGGCGTGCAGACTCCCAGGCCATGAAAATGGGAGACAATAACGTCATCGAGTCGAAAGGTGAGCTGTGTCCGCGGTGCGTTGTCATGGCAATCCTCGTGTTTTGTTCTGGGAGCAGCCTGGGTGCGACCACGGAAGGGGTGTGCCCACACTGCAGACATTGCAGCCAGGCGGCCTGTGTGGTTACGCGGTCATCTGGTAAACCCACGGAGGCGCTGTCCCCTGGGCGCGGTGGCACACCTGTGATCCCAGCTACTCAGGGTTGGGCAGGAGGTTGCAAGTTTGAGGCTGACCTGGGGAACTCAGTAAGAGAGACCCTATCTCAGGCGGTCAGGTGTGTATATCTAAGTCAGGGTGGAGTCAACGTCAAGGTCACACGAAAGCCTTGAAAGATGGCTGCTAACTGCTAGCGTCTGGTGTGTCGGTCGGTCAGCATTGTCACCGGAGGAGAGCAGAGGACACTCAGGCAACGACTCCCGGGGCCTGGCCGTCTAAGGCCTGCAGGGGACCTGACGGCAGCTCCTCCCCCGAGCTCACCGTCCTGACCAGCTGGGGGGCCTTGCTGTGTCCCCTTCACCTGCAGTAGGGCACTCGTGTGCTGTGCGGGCAGAGAGGAGCGCGTGGCCCGGCCTGCCCTCTCCTGGGGACCGCGGTTGGCACAGGATCGTCTCCAAGCAGCACTTGGTGCGGCCTCAGAGCCCACTCTAAAGACCCTCCGAGACCGACCTCCGTTCGTCTGCTTAGGGCTCTGGTCTAACGAGAGCTCTGACCGCCGGCCTCACTGGCCTTGGCCTTGGCATTCACCGAGTGCCTGACTTCCGCGTGCCCCTCCATGCTGTGTGCTTGGTCCTCGGGTCAGACCGGGAAGCCGGTTAGCGCACTGTGTCCACCATCACGGGGAGGTCCTGCCTGCCACTGCCCTCTGCCCACTCTCACCGTCAGTACTCGCAGTAATGCTTTTACATGAAGCTGGTGTGCACTTAGTTTTTTGATTTTTTAAATTTTTTTAGATTTTTTGCCATAGGGCATGTTTGCTTGCTGGAGACAGAGAAAGTGAGAGGGAAAGTGAAAAATCACCCCTTGGATGGCAACACCAAACTCCTTTCTCTGTTCTCCTGGGGTTTTGGGCAGATGTGTGCCTGATTTTCAAGGTGCCAGGTCTGGGACTTGAGCCACGTCCAGCTACGTGGGAGTCCAGTGCCTTAACCACAGTGCCACCTGCTGGCCCAAGGCCAGTGTGCAGTTTTTTTTAAAAGGTTTTCACCCTAGGGCACTAGGTGCTTGCTGGAGAAGAGACAGAGCCAGTGAGAGGGAAAGTGAGAGTCCATTCTCCTCCCGGGACCTTGGGCATGCATGCACACATGCCCGGTGTGATTTTCAAGCCACTGTGTCTGGGATTTGAACCGCAGTCAGCCATGTGGGAGTCCAGTGACATAATGCCACACCATCTGCTGGCCCCCAGTCCCCTTCGGGCAAGGTGCCGAGTCCCTCAAGTGTACTTACGCAGCTTCCCTGTCCTGCACAGCCTACGTGGGCAGGAACGTCGCCCTGACCAGCGGCTGCATCGTCGGCGCGTGCTGCAGCCTGAACACGTTCGAGGTCATCCCCGAGAACACGGTGGTCTACGGCGCCGACGGCCTGCGCCGGGTGCAGACCG